CTCTTTTTTTTTCCACCCGAAGAGGTATAAGGGAGTTTTTCCTATTTAAGTGACAATCGAAATGGGATTATTTTATTTAAAATTCAAAGTCGCCACTTGGGATAATTTATGGTGTCCCAAGTCACCGGTTTTAAATCCCGAATCAAAGAAAGATTGACTCTGTTTTGCAGTCCGCAAACATAGAAATTCGGGTAAGAAATTCTGTTAATCCGGGAGAAGGTGTTAGGCATTCTCGGGTTCTGTGGTTTTAGCACGGTCGCTTAACTATTAATATTGGCCTAATTATCTGATTAATCACATATTTTAAACCTACATTAATTTTTTAACTTTAACCACTTTTAGTTATTTAAGAAATTATTTCAAGGTTATTTAAAATACACTGTAAGCCACGCTGCATAAAGTGCACCTGTGAGTCACGACACGTTCTACTTAACCTTGTTGGAAATTAGAACCGTATCACATGAAATGTATCCCCAGATTTTAGTAGTAGCCATGATAATTATATAATTAATGCGCCTAAAGCAAACTACGAAGTTCATTTTTAATATCTAAATTATAACATTCGTGAGGGCCATAGATGTTTTATTTTGCTTATGGCACGCCTCAAGTCTCTTTCTTCAAGTGTGATTTCTTGATCTAGTTTTATGAGGGTCATAAATCATAGGTCTTGTTTTATATGGCACACCTCAATTTATTAAAGGGAAAGCGTTCAACGACATGAATTATGAGTATTCACACATCCTCACGGTTAACCCAAAGTTTTATGACAAAATAAATTACAAATGAAGTATTTGAAATTAACACATGCTTCTAACTTTCTGAGGCATTAGTCAAAATAAAAACAAACTGTCACGTTATTTTTTTTTAAAAGACGGTCTTTGAAAGCTGTTGGGCTCAAAACAGGCCCACAAACAACAGAGCCAAGGACGAGCACTCCCCGGGCCTGGCTATGACCAGGCTGTCCCATTTGACTAGGATTGGGCTCGAAGGACTCTTTATTGATCCAATGGCGACAAAATGTCACATTTAACCAACTGGCTACTAGACAACCAAATTTCACTATAACAACCCCAAAGGGCCATGCACCAATGGAAGGACGTTACTTAGATTGAAATATGGCAGAATAAACAAGGGAAAACAACAATCTAACTATTTTCATGGCATATTATTTCATACATTAGCATACTTTAATCAAATATCTAGGAAATGAACTTGAATTTATTACTTCTAGAATGCTAATGATTCGATATCATCATAGCTAAATAGACAAGCAAATCATAGCTTCATGCGAGCAAAACATCAAAGTACATAGAACTTCCAATCAGATCCCAAAACCGAAACTCACATACACAAATGGACTACCCAGACTACTAGATTTTAGTTCATGCTTGGAAGGAAATCGTGCAATCGAGCTAAACATCAAAGAAAATTTCACAGAATACGGCCAATGTGACAAATAGGACAACTAGTGTATACATTTGAGCTGAACTATAACATGTTGAGAAGAAGATAAGAAGAAGAAAGAAAAGCAACATAACAAATCAAAAGAAACATCAGAATCCTATTTCAGTCTACATTTCACGTGATGTTTGGGCATGATATCAACAGGTGATCCAAAGCTTCATGTATAACATTAAAATGTTCATCAGTACATACTGTTACTACAAAGATAAATAAAGAGCTTTGAGAATCAACTTAAAACAACACCCAGCTAATAGGTACAGTAGCAGAGATCAGCAATAAAAAAGCAAATCAAACAGCTCCAAAATCCAGCAACTTCAGCTTAGGAATTTAGAAAATCCTCAGCGAATACCACTTCCAAACTTTGTTATCTTTCAAAGAAAAAGAAAATCTATCTCAAAACTGTACTAGAAAGTTTCTGCCGTTTTTCTATTCTTTCATTCTCTGATCTCCTCCCCTCAAATTCATGGAAATGAGACTCTTATAGAGGGGAATTAGGGCAGCAGAGATTGATTTTTCTTTTCTTTATTACCCCTTCCCCCAATTTTCACTTTTTCATTTCAGACCTTGAGATTTAAGTATGTTTGTTAAACCACCCCATTCCCATCTTTCTGGAAACTTCCTAGTTAGTTAGGAAAATCCCCTCAAGTTAAAATCCGCAAATTAACCTCCTAGTGCTTAAGAATTTCCTCAGAACCAAACCTTATTATGGGCTCAAAACAACTGAAATTGTCGGGCCTTCCTATCACACAAATAGGCCCAAACTTGAACCAAATCAAACAGACTGATTAATTGGCCCAAAAAACAGCATACAATTATACTAATCTAACATATGCATTTGACTAATTAATCATGCAATTACGCTAATAATCTATCTTAATTGAACTAATCAAAACAATTATTAACACTTAACCGAGGAATCAACCAACAGAAAAAGAAACAAGTAAAAAGGGAAAGAGGAGTACATTGATTTGGCCGGACATGAATGGACAAAACATAGATACTCGACAAACGATGAAAGAGACGAAACTTGGTTGGTCAGTGGTAGCTTGGCCGGGATCCGATGACTTCAAAATGGGTCAAAACTAATGCAAAACGATTGCTCTTATCAAGAGCAATCGATTCAAATGAGTATTGACTTAAATCGAACAAAATACTCCAAACAATTTGCACAAGGTCGAACTAGGGTTCTTCTGGGCGCTTAGATCTGAAATTCACCGATTTTGGTGGGATTTCTAATGTAACTGAAAGGAAATGTGAGATGAGGGAAGTGTGGGGATTGTTTGGTTAGAATATGGAGGTGTTTGGGATGGCGCCGCCGGCTGGTGAGGTTTTGGGGATTTGGGGAGGCTGGGTTCGATTAGGGTTTGGTAGGTTAGAGAATGAGAGATGAAATTGGGG